TCAGTGGGAATTGCAAGAGTTTGGGCCTCTGAAATTGAAGCTGCTTGTCTTTGCTGGTAGAATCCTTCACACCTAGGCAGCCACTTCAAGTGCACATCTATCCATTTCTGTCTCCAATTACCAGTCCCCTGAGCTGCTTGTTCCTGCAGAATTGATTGCTTGCTATTAGGGGAATCCCTGACATTTCCCTGCTTTGAACAAATACCCTTCCCTTTCCACTGGTCACTCTGCGAACAGGAAATAAATGTTGTGGTGCCATTTGCGTTGTACTTCAAAGGGCCCCACTTTTTTGACCGCTTGGAACTCATTGTTATTAGAGACAGATTTTCCAAAGTACTTTGTGTCTAGTAGTTCCCCAGAATTGTATGGGGGAGAGAGCGTCTGTTGGCACCCAATGTACTGGCTTCTTGAAAATCTGTCCCCTAGTGAGTGCCTGTCCAGATTTTTATGAGCAGTGCTGTTCCAGTTCAGTGCATGTGTAAATGGATGTGATTATAGGAATCCTGATGTTGTTTAACTTCTGCAGAGAACAGTGTACTTTTTACAAACTGAAGTAAGAATATTCCTCAATATGCAAAGCTGGCTTCCCATAGGAATCCCACCTTTTGATCTAGTCTATTTATTTAATATAGACAATTTTGAACACCATTTCTTATTAGCATCAGTAATAGCTGAAGCATGCATGGTATAGTGAATATAAAACAGGTGGCCATTTGCTATGGGCTAGAAGCCAGTGGAAATTTATCCACTGACTTGGATTTTTGTTCAAGCCCAAGTGTGAAAATGTGGAGCAAGGAGATGGATGACAAGACACCATGCTTTTTTAGTATTCCTTTAAACTTCTCTTGGGTAAGAATTTATTTCCACAGGAAAGGTTCTTTTACCTCCCTCCCTAGGGGGTAGGTTCTAGGGGTTAGGTCGTAGAATGAACAGCCAACAGCTTCTAAAGCAGCCTCAGCTGCTTTATGACTTTGGGAAAGTCATGTGGCCCCTTTAGTTTCCCTAGCTGTAAAATGGACAAAGCCAAATTAATTTGTGGAGCATTGTATTCCTTGGCTGGCATATGCACTGAAAATCCTATGAACAATTGCAAAGCATTGATCATTTACTGGTATTTCTGTTATATCAGCGGACATTGTGCCTTTTAAGGGAGCAGCACAAATGATAACGAACGATATTTTCTGACCTAAAACAATTATGCTATCCCATTGTAGGCAAAATTACCAGCTGGAGAACGTTTGGAACATGGAGAATAAAGAAACATATTAACAGTAATTACATTAGACTTGGAAGTGATGGATGGATGAATGGGGGATGGCATGCCTCCACCTGCTCTGTAACAGTGGGGAAGGGAGTGAAGCAGTAAATTACTATGGTCTTGCAGCAGAGAGCATGCATGTGGTGTGTGTTGCCACATCAAAAGCTGGCATGGACAGAGCAGCATTGTAAATTTGCCAGCTGCAGAGTGGAATTGACTCTTGTCACTACTAAGTGTCTCTAGGTACCAAAGTAGAGACACCAGCTATGCTTATCATGGTTGCTGCCATTTACTTGTGGGCTGCAGGAAAAAAAGAAAGAGAATCAATTTCCATAGCATCTGTAGCTGGTACAGCAGGGAATGAGATGGGAAGTAACATTGTAGCATTCTTAGTGTGCCCTTTGAAATGGGCAGATAAGAACCTGATGACATTTAACACCGAAAAATGCAAGGTTCTCCACCTTGGGAGGAAAAACCCACAGCATGCTTATAGGCTTGGTAGTGCTACACTGGCTAGCACTTTGGATGAAAGGGACTTGGGGGTCATGACTGATCACAAGATGAACATGAGCCTTCAATGTGATGCTGCAGATAGTAAAGCAAGCAAAACATTGGCTTGCATCCATAGATTCTTCTCAAGCAAATCTCAGGACATATTTCTTCCATTGTACTCTGCCTTTGTGAGGCCACAGCTGGAGTACTGCATCCAGTTTTAGGCTCCACAATTCAAAAAGGATGTGGAGAAGCTTGAGAGAGGCCAGAGGAGAGCCATGTGCATGATCAGAGGTCAGGAAAACAGACCTTATGATGAGAGGCTGAGAGCTATGGTACTCTTCAGCCAGGAAAAGCACAGACTCAGGGGTGATCTGGTGGCCACCTGTAAGTTCATCAGGGGTATTTCCCTGGATCTGGAGGAACGTCTGTTTACCAGAGCGCTCCAAGGGATGATGAGATCAAATGGTCACAAACTCCTCCATGACCATTTCAGGCTGGACATAAGGAAGAACTTTTTTAATGTCCAAGCCCCCAAGGTTTGGAATAGACGGCTGCCAGAGGTGGTTCAAACACCTACTTTGAACGCCTTCAAGAGACATACGGATGTTTATCTTGCTGGGATCCTATGACCCCTTCTGACTTCCTGCCCTTTGGGCAGGGGGCTCGACTCGATGACCTTCTGAGGTCCCTTCCAGCCCTAATGCCTATGAGTCTTTGTGGAAGCAGATTAATAGGACTCTTACATCTCTTGTTTATATCTACAGTTTGTCTTTATAGAAGCTTCCTGCTGTATAGTTATTAGTGCTTTGTACAGTGAGCTTTGTGTTTTGAGTGCATAGCCTGGCCCTAGGGACTGAAAAAAGGCTATGTACTTACCCAAACTAAATGAGCGTTGTTCATATTGGGCATGTCCCCACTAGCGTGTATGTGCATTTCCTGGGGAAAAGTAACTGCAGCACGTACACGTGCCTCTATTTGTCCCCAGGCACAGCACAGCACGCATGCTCTGGCGTGCGGCAAATTGTCCTGGGTGGGGTAGGGAAGGCTGGGGCCGGCACCTGCTCTCCCAGGGCAGTAGTGGCAATCTGGGTGTTTGGCTTGGGTGCTGACCCAGCCTGTAATAGCTGACAAAAACTCCCTAAGTAGCCCTCCAGCACAAATAGTTGCCCATCTTTGATATAGATGGACCCTGTGAATCTAAGAGTTGTCTTATTTTTTTATCTTGTGGGTTTTGTCTGCCTCAGTCTTGAGGATGGCTCCTCACTGCTCTGTGGTTTTGCTGTTGCACAGATTGACACGTGAGACTGTGTTCCAGTGTGAAACTGGCATGCCTCTCACCGGACACTGTGCATTGCCCCACTTCCAGCTGCCTCTTTGAGCTTCTGACCCATCTTGCATGCAGAGAGATGCAAAAAATATAGCTAGGCGCAATCACAGAAGCACCAGTGTTTTCTTTATTTTGTCATCAGGTAAGAGCAGGACTGTGACAGCAGTGCAGAGGAGTAAGAGGGTGCATTGCAGGTAAATGTTGCCTCTGGGGGGACACTCCCACATGGGAAATGTGGAGAAGCTTAGAGTGGGTGTAGTCTGGTTTAATCCTTCCTCAGGGTCAGGGTAGGTGTAGCTGAGCTGGCTCCACAGTAGAAGAAACTTGGAATTGATTCTTCTGCAGCAAGATGGAACTGAGGAGGGAATCGTGGGGCATACACATGCTTCGAGGTGGGGTGAGGGTCACATGTATTCAGCATCCCCCGCTTCAAAATGGTGGTGGGGGTGCTTTAACTAAAGCATATTTGAGCCATTTTGAAATGTGGGGATACTGAATACACATGATGCAGAGACTGCTGGAGCATGCTAATTAGCATGCTTCAGCAGACTTGATTAATCGAGTCTGCTCCAGCGCATGCTACTAGTAGTTTGTATAGGTGAATGTGATTCTCCTAGCTAGAATTAGGAATATGTAATTTGGGTCGTTGGGCTCTGTTCTGTGCTAGATTAATTTAGACCAGTGGTCACCAACCAGTGGATCTTGATCCACCGGTAGATCTTGGAGTTGATCTGAGGCTGGGGTGGGGGGGGGCTGAGTGCCCATGTGCGTGCATGCATAGGCCCCAGCCCAGCAGGTCATTTTGTTGGTGGGGAAGGGGCAGGGGCTAGATTGAGGCCTCTACGGTGAGGGACAGAGGCAGGAGCAGGGGTAAGTTGAGTGGGGCCTTGGATGGGTGAGTCTTACCTGCTGGGGAGGCATGCCCCTAAATAATTTTTTCTACCTCAATCTGCCACCCCCCCTCCCTCCCCACACTTACGTGCTGGGTGGTGAGGGGAAGGGGGTGCTATGGTGGCAGCACACGGTAGATCTTGGGTTGCTTTTAAATGCCAAAGGTGATCTCCTACTTAAAAGGAGACCACTGCCTTAGACAGATCACTGAAAGACAGAGGGTGAAAAATATGTGTTCCTAAAATCCTTATGGCCTCTTGAAAATTTTTTCCCCTCAGTGACTTTTCTTAGCGTGCTGCTTTTGCACAGTGAAGATGTTATCTGTTATATGGAAACCTCAGCTTTCTGAGTTATGATTGTGAAATGCTTTTGGTTTCTAGGCTGACCCTAGAATCAGTTTCTTTGACCTTTCCCTCCATTTAACAATACCCTTATTTTTTCTCACACTTTTTTTCATATCCTTTTGTCATATAATAAGCATTTTATTTTGTCATATAATAAGCATCTTGTTTTTGAAAGGCAGAATTAAAAAAATAGATCTTTTCTTGTAGTAGGTAACTGAATAGCAGCAGCTAGGGAGCCAAACCTGCTCAATGATTTACTCTCTGTATATCGCTGCAGATTTTACTTTCCATTCTCCTGTAATTAGCAGAACCTGCTCTTACTCTATTTCTTGTGTATAATGCACACTAATATCCCACAGCTGGTTTATTTGGTTTTTGTTTTGTTTTTAAGGCAATGGTGCATGTTGTATGTGAGAAAATGTTATCTCCTTATGCAAATTCCACTGCTAGGTTTTAAGGGAATTATTTTGGAACGTGGCTGCTGTTTGGCACTAATGAGGCTGGTTGGGATCATTATACTGCTGGATTTCAAGTGATGCTCTGCTTACAGAAGCAAACTTATATTGTATTTTTGAAATAGGGAAGTATGTGGCATCCCCAGTAAGTTGCATCTGTGTTATCTTCCCTTTGTTTTACTTTATACTTTTTTTTTTTTTTTTTTTTTAATCCCGCACTCTGTTTCTAGCCAGCATGGATGGGAAGAAATGCAGCATGTGGATGTTTTTACCACTTGTGTTCACCCTGTTCACTTCAGCCGGGTTATGGATAGTGTAAGTTACCTTCTGCTGTGTGTGTTAAATTGTGCATTTTTGTGGTGTGGAATACATGTTAATCGAGAGATTTTAATGGGCCTGTCCCTCCCTAGTTATAGAGGGATGGCTGACACCTTGTAATCTGCCTTTTATAGAGGGCAGCTTGCAACTGTGCCCTCCCAAGACCAGGATGGGGACCAGTTTATTGCTTAGAAGCTTGTATTTTGGTCCCTGATTCCCACTTCTTCCACAGGAAAAAGCCTTACCAGACCCTTTTCAATTTGGAGAGATTAAAGGGTCTCCTGGTTCAGTTCAGATTCCAAGATTCGGCCACCAAATCAGGCTGAATCTCTGCCAAATCAAATCAGGGACTGAAGCTTTGCACAGCCCTACTATCCACATGCCATGCCATCAGGTCAGTGTCCTACATGCAAGGGTGGTGGCACATGAGTTGGGAGCCGTCTGGAAAAGATAGGAAAAAATACAAGGCCCCCCCCCCAGCAAAAACCACATGCCAAAAACCCTGCCTTTCCCCACAACTTTCCAGAGCACTTCCTTGACAACTAAAACCCTAGTTCAGTAATACACTTAAGCATGGATTTAAGGGCTTTTTTGAATCTGGTCCAAAGTGTTGAGGATTAAAAGCTTGCTCTGTCATGGGTAAAGAAATTGTAATACTGTACATGGGGTTATATTGGCAACTTGCCAAGTGTATCAAGGGATGATCTCTTCTGTAGATCTTTAACCAAAGTAAATGTACACAAAACCAAACAGTTGTCTGGGCTGGGATCTTCCTGAGGAGACAAATGGGAGCTGCCATTAGTGGGTCCTCATGAGTAAAAAGCACTTGCAGTTGATTGATCTCTGTGCTCATCCAGAGTGGGGGGGTTGTGGGGTATAACTTAAGAACCCATGAGCTGCCTTGGACGAGCTTTTCCTATCTATGCTTGGCTAGAACCTGTAGATTTCATGTACTGAATGTTATCCTGAAGTACCTAAGCACATGCTCAAGAACTTTCTATTTCTAAAATTGGGGCCTGAATTAATTTTAAAGCAAGTATCTTGCTCTTATTTTTGCATGTGATTTTTTTTTTTTCTTTCTTTTTTGTCAGATACTTCATAGCAGTGGAAGATAACAAAATTCTCCCATTAAACCTGCCAGATAGGTAAGAGTTTACTGGCTTTTTTTTTTTTGTTTCTAAATCAGTAATATCTTGTAAACATATTTTCAAAGATGCACAAAAGAGCAAAATCTTTAACTCTGACTCCTGTTTTTTATGTCACTTAGGAAACCTGGTTCCAAAAGTCCACCATATATAAGGTAACTTCCTAGTTAACCCCTCCCTCCCCAGTTAACCATTCTGATGAATGTGTGCTGTTTATTTATCTCTCTTACCAACTTAGAGTTACAATGACACACTTTATATTTTTGAAGTATCGCAGGTGATGCCCCTCCTGCAAGCTGTGTCTTTAGCCAAGTCATGAATATGGCTGCATTTCTAGGTAGGAACTACATGGAGAATGGTTGTCTTTTTTCTCTCTCAATTCACTTCAAAGACTTTTTCGACCATAAGTAAAATCCAGTAAATGTTGCTGTCATAGATGATTTGAAACCCGTTAAAGAGCTGTTGCTAACTGCTAATGAAGGCAGTAATTATTTGTAACAAGACAGAACAAAACTGGATGCTTTTCAACTTTGTAGTGTCCATTTTATTTTTTTTATTATTCCATCCTGGCCTTGAGTCTTTTGGTTGCATGGCGCATTATTTTGTTGTTGTTGTTTTCTCCAATAACATACTGCATGAGAACATGGTGTATTGAGTTGCTGTATATGAGAAAATATTGCTTGTGATTTTGTTTCTCCCCCAACCCCTTTAGTAAAAATCTGAAGGTTTGTGGGTTCCCTTTAAAATGAGTGTTCAGGAAGGAAACTTCAAATTGACCATGACTGTGAAGTACACTGGAAGAATGCAATATTTGAAAAAAAAATGCTTGCCACAGAAACTGTAAGCATTTTTTTGACCCAGTATAGACAAAATGAATGTACTGATTTGCTGTTTCTTAGGTGATCTTCTATCTCTGCCCCATAGGTAATGTACCTACCTAACTTATGGGAGCATAGCTCATAGTTCCACACTTAAGACTTGAGTTGAATTGGGCACTTTAAACATTGATTCAATTACATTGTTATATTTTAAGAGCACAGTGTATCCTTCTGAAACTCCAAGAAATTCAGAGCCAGGTTTACACATAAAATAAATTGGCACTGGTTAAGGTATGGAAATAGTGTCAAGGCACTGAAACAACTTTGCCCTCCCCACTACTGACATAATGGAGAGGTGTGGAATTTGAGGTCTTCCAGAATCAGTTTGAATTGCGTATTCAGGCAGTCCTCAGACTTACGACACAATTGGTTCCTGAGAACCGCGTCTTAAGTCAAAGCGTTGCAACTCGGAACTGATTTTTCCCATAGGAAACAATGTTATAAATGTGGGATTGGTTCCTGAACCAAGGCCTGATACCCTGTTTTCACCAAAAATACCCCAGAATTTTGTACTCAGTCAATTATAGGTGAGTAACATAGCTACATTAATGTATTTATATTGTAAATAGCAATCACATTCATTTGGAAGGACTTCTTTGAGGTGACTTGGCTGGACTTTTTGAAGGGCTCCTGGCTGGACTTTTTCAAGGGTTGTTGGCTGGAGTCTTCTCAGGAGTCTGGGCTGCAGGTTTTTCTGGAGTCTTGTCTGCTTTCTTAAAGAAAGTGTCCAAGGAAGTTTGGACAGATGGGAGATGGGTGGCGCATCAAGCACTGTAAAGTTGAACCTGACATCAGAAAGTTGAAACAGGTTGTCAGTTTATAAAAGTTTTAAGTTTGAAATGTTGTAACTCGAAACATTGTAAGCTGAGGACTGCCTGTATTTGAAACGTATCAATCATAATATTACTTAGAGAGTGCTTTGGATAGATGGAGGTACATCCTGGAAAGGTAGGGTCTTTTGTCAGCGTGGAGAAACAATGCATGTATCATGCACAATTTCAGGCAATAGTGAGAGGAACATATGCGTGGCAGAGGATGAGCAGCACATATCTGGGGTCCACTGTGCAGGAAAATGGAAAGACATGGGGAAATTCAAGAGTATAATAAAGTGTGACTGAAGTGGAGGGGAGCTAGTGGAGTGGCTTGTGACAAGAAAATTAAAATTAGTCTGAAGGTGAAATTTGCAAGACGGTGATGAGGCCAGGGCTGTTGCATGGATCAGAATGTTGAACAGTGAAGAAAGTTGCCCATGATAGAGGTGGCAGAGATGAGACAGATCTATGATTTTGTGATGAGACAGTTCTACCTGCTGAGGTAGATTTATAGATTTAACAAGAAAAATCCTTTAAGAAACAAGGAGGTGCCACAGCAAGCAGAGGTGGGGTGGAGGACATCAGTAGAGGAAAATCTGAGCTAGAGCAGACTGAAATGGGTTGGGCATGTACCTAGAAGTCCTGAAGAGTATGTGGGAAAGAGAGTTCAGGCCATGAGTCAGGGATAGGAGAAAGAGAGGAAAACCTAAGAAGATGCAGCAGGAGTATGTAAAGCAAGACCTGTGAACATCTAGCATTTCAGAAGACAGTGATGGGCTAAAGTTTGTGGAGTATAGAGACAAGGAAAGTGGACCCTATCTAGTGGGGGGGAATGTTTGGAAGGAAAAGAACATGATTACTTCATACTGTTAGTTCAGGGCAGAGTTAAAAAGGTTTGGGTGTCCTCATTTTGTATTTCTGCACCTTAATATGTATGGCTTTGCTTTAAGTTTAACCTTATCGCTTAATTTCCTGGAAGTTTAACAGTTGGTTTTGTATAATTGAAATGTAATGTGTCCCTATAAAGTACTATATAATATTACATGTTGGTCACAACCTTCACTCTTTACTAATGCATGTTTTGTCTGGGATCATATCTGTTTATACATATTCACACATTATGTATAACATTTGGTCAGAACCTGAGCTGCTCTAAATCAGCCTAGCTCCACCGGAGCGACACTAGTTTATACAAAGATGATCATGCACATAATGTGATGTGTAACTGACACACAGAGTTCAATACACTTTTCTAGGTGCCATGGCAGTTTCTGCCCTGAAAAGTCAAATGCAACAATATGCAGGTAGCAAAAATTTTTAGGTTATGCTGCA